ATTGACCTTGACAATACAATTATATTGAACATATTTCAAACACAGCGAAATGACACTTTATATATATATATATATATATATATATATATATATATATATATATATATTCATATATATATATACATTTATATGTGTGTGTATGTGCGTATTTGTATGTGAATACACCCATTTCATATATTATTACTTTAAAATACATTTTTGTTATTATTTCTTCCTTATTATACTCAAAATACTATACGTTTTATAGAAAATTTATTATATTTACCATTTATCTTTTTTTTCTGAATTCTTCACATAGAAGAATGCGACAACCCCAAAAACAGCTTGTGTTTACATAGTTCCATGTGTAAATATAGCATAGTCCGAGGTGTAAATATAGCATGTCGCGAGTTGTACATAGTGCGAGGGCGCTAATCTAGACGTATTTACCCTACCTTCTCTGTATGTGCGTCTCGTTGGTTTTTTTTTCTATTTCGGTAGTGTTTTATTGAGTTTTATTTTATATTATTACAACGGGAGCTATTCTTGGTAGAATTAGTAACACAATAAAAACCCAGTTAAGGTTTTACTAAAACGGGCTTGTGCTAACAGTCACCACCTATATTACGAAAAAAGAATGCCCGAAGTGGAGTGTCTTTTAATTTCAATACAGGGCTAACTCTATATTTTACGTACTTGTGTACGCAAATGAATACTGAAATAAAAGAATCCGATGGGGGGGGGGGGGATTTCCCCTTCCTGAACCAGGTAACATAACTACCCCCCTCCCACACACTCACGCACACCTGTTGATTTGATCATCACACTGCACCATGACCACCGTCTTAAAAATCGTTTCGTTCGGGAAAGCATCACCTAGAGCAGGGGTGTGGGCAATTGTTTTGGCCCGAGGGCCACTTTGTAGTGGCGGATTTTAGCGGAGGGCCGCACCGTTTAAAATGATTGTTTTCTTTAATTAACATTACATTTCATCTCAGAAAAATTATAAATGGTAACATGAAAATCAATCAATAAAACTTAAACAAAAGTGGTAATTTTATTAAATTTATCTATCGGTTGCGGGGTTTTCTGAATGTCTAGCGGGCCACAAAAAAAACTCTAGCGGGCTGCATGTAGCGCGCGGGCCGCACTTTGCCCACCCCTGACCAAGATTCATAGAAACCAGTTCACTACTTGGTGAAGAGACTCCACATTATTCCATTTATAAATGGGGTAAAAGAGTTCTCAGTTCACAGTTAGGACATTTCTTGCCCTATCCCCTCACCCCAACCCCCAACACACATCTACGTCTTCTTGATTAGTTACGTGTGTTATAATATTTCACAAGAAAAATGTATTTTATATATACAGTAAACTAGATTTTTAAACGTTTAAATATAACCAGTGAACCAATTTAAAAAACGTTTAAAATTTGCCTTAGAAACACTAATAATAGTCTTCTCGCTCAACATTTAAACACAAATATATCTACAAATATCACATATAGTTATCTTTTCGAACCTGATGGTTAATGGGGCGAGTGAAGTAGAGTTCACTTGTTCTGTGCCCTCGGCATATGAAGAGATAGTATTTCCAGCACTATACCCAGCCGACTTTACTTTCCTTAACGTGAATTAGGGTACCCATCAGAGCTGGGTGGACTCAGGGACTTAATTCTGACTTAAACCCGGATTCGAATTCAAGACCTTCGGGTTAGCAGTCTAGCACTCTACTTCTACGTCACCCCGCTCCATACAAATATCACATAGCTCAACAATAGCTTCTGTAAAACAAACAATCCTTGATCTGAACCACTTAATTAACTAAATACACAGTGGCGTAGCGAGGTCGGGTGTTACCCGGTGAGGCACTTAATGGTGTCGACCCCCCCCCCCCAGAGGCGTAGCGACCCTTCCCGGGGACAAACTGTCAATTTTCGATTTGCACCCCCCCCCCCCTCTAACTTTTCTCTATATATTTTGCTATTTTTTGCCTTGGGTGTCACCCCCCTAAATGGTGTCATCCGGTGCGGTCCGCACCCCCACCGCCCCCCCCCCCCCCCCCCCCCCCTCCCATCTCCCTACGTCTCTATAAATACACACACGTTTTTACTTACAATCCCAGAATCCATCGCCCCTTTCTGACAGTTGACATACAGCCCGTGGAGCTGAAAGGTCCCCACGTCCCAGATGAGAACACTGTAGAGCGACTGACCCCTGGCCATGTCCCAACCCACGGCAGGGGGTTTGACCAGCGACCAGGAGCTGAGAAATGTGACATTGAGGGGGTCGATGAGGGTGGTTGGTGACGGGCGAGATGCTGAAGTCGCTGTCACAGGGCCTGGACGATACCTGGGGGAAGTTGGTTAAAACGCAGTCAATCGATTCAATTATCTATATCTATATATAATATATAATTCTCTTCTGGGAGACGCTAGAAAACAAGCTGTAAGCGCGCCTAGCAGTCCCCTCCCTTCCTCTATAGGCGTATCTCTATTACCCCCCCACCCCCCTACCGACACGGTCTGGTGAGCTGTGGTTCACGCTATATGTTTACAAGCATAGACGGGTTTAGTGACGGCTATTAGGGGCAGATAATTTAGTTTGAAACTATTTTAAACTTAGGGGAGGTAACTAAGAGGAGGCTGCTTTCACGAGGGGTGGGGGGGGGGGGGGGGAATGAGGGTTTTAGTGTTTTAAAGCAAATATTTTCGGTGGCAGCATTGGTACTGTCGAATTCACAAATTCTGAATTACTGAAAAGTAGAAAAAGCAACAACCAAATAGCGGCGTATGATACGCCGCGGGTCGGCTCGTTGTTGATAAATGGTTTGAAGTATAATGTCTAGGACACTCTAGGTGGCTTAAAATGATGTAGTTTAAGTACGCTTTTGAACCCGACAGTACATACGGCAAATGAAGCAGAGCCTACAGTTTATCTATTTACTTTGAAGTTATTATAAAAGGTCACGCATTGAAACATATTTGACAGGGTTCGAATAGGCCTGGATACAGCAAGTATCTAGGTCAAATACTCTTTCATCTGACAATTTCAATCTGACATTTCTTATGTGCAATGAAGAAGAAAGTAGTTGTCGCTATGATTGCGTGATTGTTTATAAATAAGTTCCGTAGTCAGCTTAATTGCTTGTCGTAACTAGTTCTCTAGAGTGACCACACTATTTCTTCATATGCCGAGGTCACAGAAACAAGTGAACTCTACTTCGCTTGCCCTATAGACCGTCAGCTTTGAAAGGGGAACTTTAATTTACTTTAACTAGTTCTCTGGGTCTGGAGCAAATAAAAAATGGAGTCTGGAAAGTTCTACAGACTCAAGATTTTCGGGTTAGAAATCGTGTATCATTCCATTCAACTACGTCATCATTATAATTAATCAACCAAGTTAATCTGATTATGGTTCTTGATAACTAAATTGTATATTGTATATTTTTGTTTTTAAATTATATGAATTAATAAGGAACATTATAATTAAATTCTATTTGGAATGAGGTGTAAGGTTGGCTTACCCGCAGGTGCGTTGTACGTCACAAAGGCCAGTTTGATTGTCCGTAACAGACCGGTCAGGTCATTCTTGTTGGTGGTGTCGTTTAGAGAGAAGAGTCTTGACGCAACGGAGTAGTGTCCCTTGTCTGGGTTATCGCATTCAGGAGTAGTTTGGTCCTGGTTGAATTTTAGCATTACTTTATATATATATATATATATATATATATATATATATATATATATATATATATATATATATATATATATATATATATATATATATATATATATATTTAAAAATATAATACAATATATATATATTACATGTGTGTGTGTGTGTTTGTGTGTGTATGTTTATATATATATATATATATATATATATATATATATATATATATATATATATATATATATATATATATATATATATATATATACACACACACAAATATAATACAATATATATATATATATATATATATATATATATATATATATATATATATATATATATATATATATATACACAAATATAATACAATATACATATATATATATATATATATATATATATATATATATATATATATATATATATATATATATATATATATATATATGTATATATATTACTTATGTGTGTGTGTTTGTGTGTGTAAGTGTGTATGTTTATGTAGGAGTATAAAATAAAATAAAAAATAATTATATTACACTGACGATTATGACAAACGAAAGCAAAAATAGTTATGGTTTTGGCTGAAACAAGGAACCTCAGTATATTTTCTCTCTTTGTATGTTATGAAAACCAAACACCTTCTCTCTCTCTCTCTCAATACTTTCTTACATCCCTCCCTCCCCCATCCTCTCTCTCATATATCATCTTTCTCTCTCTCTCTCTCTCTCTCTCTCTCTCTCTCTCTCTCTCTCTCTCTCTTGCTCACTCTCTCAGCCTCCCCCCCCCCATTTATCAATCCTTTCTTATCTCCCTCTCCCCCCATCCTCTCTCTCTCCCTCTCCTTCTTGCTTTCTCTCTCAGCCTTTTTCTACACCATTTATCAATACTTTCTTATCTCTCTCTATCCCCATCCTCCCTCCTCTTTCATTTATTATTTATCACCCTCCACTCCAACTACCCTACACATCCTTCACCCGCCCCATTCAACTCCAGTTAGCCACGTAAAACTCTACAACAACAATCAATTCTCCATCTCAACCTACACAATAAGACACGCATGATTGGGTTTTGAAGATACTACGACCACGTTTAAAGACACTGGACCTAATATTTGAATGTATACAATTTCCGCTAATTAGAAATGTAACATTATTGATTGATTAGAGACTGCACCTACTTAGTAAAATATCGAGTATTATATCTAACGGAACTGAATTCCTTTCAGTGTGTGTATTGCTAACGGAGTGTTTAACGCGGAATTCAGGACTTTTGAAACTTTTTGAAAAGTGGTTGCTGGTTTGAAAAAAAAAAAGATGCAGTGTTAAATTTGATCAAATTTAAAAAATGGATAAATTGCGTTTTTGTTATTTGTTGCTGTATGTTATAGGTAAGATTTTTATACCTTTTTTTTTGTTTTTTTTACTAATTCTTTAAAAAAATTGTTCATTTGTCAAAAAACTACATTATTAATATTAAAGATTCCTCTTTAGACCTAGCGATCCATTAAGCTGATGAAGTATATTTTACGTTGTTTTTTTTTTTCCTTGGCACAGGAAAGTATAGTGTGGTAGGTACTTTGCCCAACCACCTTTACTTTCCCTAAACGTGAGTTAGGTACCCAATCAGAGTTTGGCGGACTGCAAGAGCGTTCTACTATCTAGAACCCGGACTCGAACTCGAGACTTTCGGGTTAGCAGTCTAGAGCTCTACCGATAGGCCGTGCAAAATTTCTTTCAGACGGGCGAACTAAGCCAATTATTATATAAGCTGCACTACACCACATAAACCACCCACACATCGTGCCCCCCAACCCCACTCCATCCACCCAGAGGCGTAGCGACCCTTCCCGGCGCCCGGGGACATACTTTCAATTTGGCGCCCCCCTCGGGAGCAAATTTTCGATTTGCACCCCCCCCTCGAACTTTTCATTTGCACCCCCCCTCAAACTTTCGATTTGCACCCCCCCCTCGAACTTTTCATTTGCACCCCCCCCCTCAAACTTTCGATTTGCACCCCCCCCTCGAACTTTTCATTTGCACCCCCCCTCAAACTTTCGATTTGCACCCCCCCCTCGAACTTTTCATTTGCACCCCCCCTCAAACTGTCAATTTGGCGCCCCCCCTAAGGTCGGCGCCCGGGGACATATGTCCCCCCCCCCCGCCCCCCCCCCCTCGCTACGCCTCTGCATCCACCCCTTATGCACGAACTCCCGACCACCTCTTAACTGATCACTTACCAACTAAATTTAATCACACATTTAAAAAAAATTATTCCTTGGTAGTATATCGCTGTTTTTCAATTATAATTGTTTCGGTAATCTTAATTTGGTATGAAAAATAAGTAGGAATATTTTTTTTTAAAAATAAAACTTCGAAACGCGTGGGTTTAAGTAATTTAAATTGTTTCGTTAATGTTTAACTTTCAGGGGCGGTAACTACAAAAAGCTACGCCGCTGCAGCTGTTCCAGATTACTATAATTTCACAATCAATGGACAGACGTACTGGTTATCTAACTACTCAGCCAGTGAACAAACTGCAAGGAATAAATGCGCCAACATCTACTCAGAGTTGGCCTTGTTCAACACTAACGCTGAACTCCGAAATGTTGCCACGTATATTTTAAACAACATTGCAAAAGGTTTTTCTTTTTGGGTAGATATTATATCAAAAGACGAAAACAATGATGGTAAGTATGAGTTCTACTGGAAAACTGAAGATTTGGATCAAACCCTTTGGGGATACCCTGATCCTAACGAAAACTGTCAATCGGTTCAAAAAGACACACCTTGTTGCGTGGATATAGGGTTATATGATAAGTATTGTTTGTTTGATTACCCTTGTACTGGCCTAATCAGGTTTTTGTGTAAGTCAGTTGACGAGTGTCTCAATAACGTTGACAAGTGTGAGCATGGGTGCCGAGATAAAGCCCTGGGTTACGACTGTTACTGTAACGCAGGTTACAGCTTGGCGAGCGACGGTTACGCGTGCGATGACGTCAACGAGTGTAACACATCGACGCCGTGTCAGCAGGCGTGTACCAACACGCACGGCTCCTACACGTGTGGTTGTTATACCGGGTACACGATGGCCGTGTTCGGCGAGTGTGTTGACGTGGACGAATGTAAAAATACACCTTGCCCGTACAACTGTAAAAACACCGAAGGATCCTTTTACTGTGAGTGCCTACAAGGATATTCCCTGGCTCCAAATCAAACCAACTGTACCGATATTGACGAATGTTCTGTTTTCAAACCTTGCCAACAAAACTGCAAAAACACCGACGGCTCTTTTGAATGCTCTTGCGGACCTGGCTACGTCCTTTCTAACGATAAAACAAACTGCACTGATATTAATGAATGTCTTCAATTTCCTTGCCAACAAGAATGCGAAAATACCGACGGTTCTTTTAAATGTTTTTGCATACCAGGGTACCAACTCTCAAGCGACGGTGTAAAGTGTGTTGATGTTGATGAATGTGGACTAAACTCGTGTCAATTTGACTGTGTCAATACAGACGGAAGCTACTCCTGTCTTTGCCCGTGTGGCTACACCTTGCTATCAGAGCTGGGAAAACTTAGCACGGTGTGTCAAGACATAGATGAGTGTGTACTGAATCCTTGCCCGTATAACTGCAGCACATGGAGTAACCCTTGTAACAGTATATGCAACAACACGAACGGATCTTTTGAGTGTATTTGCCCACCAGGATACACGTTATCATCGGATAAACTGACGTGTGTAATGAAAGATCCGTGTTCAGTTGACTTAAACCCCTGTTCTCATATTTGTACCAGCACAAACGGCAACGCCCGATGTTCTTGTCCCTGGGGGTATCTTCTAGATTACAATAAGGTCAACTGTACAGATATCGATGAGTGTGCTTCATTGGATGTTTGTCAACAAGGATGTACCAACACATTAGGGTCATTTATGTGCTACTGCAAACAGGGTTATCAACTTTCTAACGACGGTAAAACTTGTGTTGATATTGACGAATGTCTTCCAAATCCCTGTCAACATTCCTGCAACAACACCGATGGATCGTTTAACTGCTTTTGCAGAATAGGCTACCAGCTATCTTACGACGGTAAAACTTGTACTGATATAGATGAATGTCAACAAAATACTTGCACACAGTTATGTAACAACACTGAAGGATCGTTTAACTGCTATTGCAGAATAGGCTACCAGCTATCTTACGACGGTAAAACTTGTACTGATATAGATGAATGTCAACAAAATACTTGCACACAGTTGTGTAACAATACTGAAGGATCGTTTAACTGCTATTGCAGAATAGGCTACCAGCTATCTTACGACGGTAAAACTTGTACTGATATAGATGAATGTCAACAAAATACTTGCACACAGTTGTGTAACAATACTGAAGGATCGTTTAACTGCTATTGCAGAATAGGCTACCAGCTATCTTACGACGGTAAAACGTGTACTGATATAGATGAATGTCAACAAAATACTTGCACACAGTTATGTAACAATACTGAAGGATCGTTTAACTGCTATTGCAGAACAGGCTACCAGCTATCTTACGACGGTAAAACTTGTACTGATATAGATGAATGTCAACAAAATACTTGCACACAGTTATGTAACAATACTGAAGGATCTTTTTTCTGCCATTGCAGAACAGGCTACCAACTTTCTAGCGACAATCAAACTTGTACTGATATCAATGAATGTCTTCAAAATCCCTGTCAACATACATGCAACAACAATGAAGGATCCTTCAGTTGTAACTGTAAACCTGGCTATCAGCTATCTAAAAACGGCACAAACTGTCTTGATGTTGACGAATGTCTGCAACATCCTTGTCAACATACATGCAACAACACAGATGGATCCTTCAAATGTGGATGCCCAACCGGCTACATTATCGCACCGGATCAAACTAACTGCACAGACATTGACGAATGCAATATATCCAACCCTTGCCAACAAGAATGCAAAAACACTTTGGGTTCATTCAACTGTTACTGCCGAAAAGGGTACGAAATTTCTACCTACGGCAATTCTTGTGCTGATATTGACGAATGTCTTCAACAACCGTGTCAATATACATGTAACAACACTCAAGGGTCTTATAAATGTGAATGCCCACAAGGTTTCATCCTTGCACCTGATCAAACTAACTGTACTGATATAAACGAATGTGCATCCCAACACCCTTGTCAACAAGGTTGCAGCAATACTGAAGGTTCTTTTCGATGTTTTTGTAGGCGCGGATACCAACTCTCCTACGATAATCAAACGTGTGTTGATATAAACGAATGTTCACAGAAGCCGTGTCAACACGAATGCAATAACACGGATGGTTCATTTACCTGCTCATGTCCTCAAGGATTTAGTCTTGCATGGGATCAAAGAAACTGCCAGGATATCAACGAATGCGGTTCAAATCCTTGTCAGCATGTGTGTACAAACACAGAAGGTTCTTTTACGTGTTCGTGTAACGCTAGCTACACACTAGGAAGTGATGGTCTGTCGTGTGTTGCGACTACCGTATGTGGTCCAGGTGTGTTGTGTAGTAATCCGACGTGTATCAACACACTGATAGTTCCAGTGTGTGTTTGTCCTCTAGGCTACATCTTGACAGGATCTTTGTGTATAAACGTCGATGAATGCGCTAGACTTAACTGCTCGGATATTTGCACCAACACAAACGGTTCGTTTAAATGTTCGTGTAAAACAAACTACACACTAGCCAGTGATGGTCGCTCGTGTGTTCCTGTTAACACGTGTGCTTCAGGTGTGCTGTGTAGCAACGGCACGTGTAAAAATCAAGTGTGTACTTGCCCTTTAGGCTACAACTTGACAGGATCGGTGTGTGTAGATATCAATGAATGTTCAGGAGCTAACACCTGTTCAGATACTTGCATCAACACTGAAGGAAGCTACACATGCGCGTGCAAGCAAGGCTACACATTAACCGCAGACAACACGTCGTGTGTAGAATCCAACCCGTGTACTGAAGGTACTCACGACTGCGAGCACATATGCACCAAAACTAACACATCTTTTCTCTGCAGTTGCAAACCAGGGTACCGTCTAGACACCTCCAACAACAAAACATGCATCGATATCGATGAATGTAAAACCAATCAATCAATATGTGATCATCGCTGTACCAACACCTACGGGTCGTACCTATGTACCTGTAACCAAGGATACCGAGTAGAAAACTCCCACTGTGTTGCGTCACGTACCCCGAGTTATTGCCCTTGTATGTGTCGGAATCTCTCTAATCTACCAACAGCTTTAACAGTTAAGGAAACTTTAAGACGTATCCAGGAAATTGAAACAAGTTTAAAACTAAACTCAAAAACTCTCTCTTCCTACTCTCTAAAGTTAACAAGCGCTGAAGACAATAGAGTTTCTGCGCAGACAGTCGGCTATGTTGGAGTTGTGCTACTTGTAATAACAGCAACCGTGATAATTCTTCCGGATATCTTCTCCGTAATTTGGTACCTCGCATCGTGCCGGAAACATTAAAAGCGTACGTTAGTCCTGGTAGTAGAACCCAAAAAATTAAGATAGCTAAATAAAAACACGAAGCCCACAATTATTATTCAATATGTATTACATTATTTTAATTAGATTAATTAATTGCACTATAGGCTACATTGCATGCAATTTTAAAAGTATCAGTTACTTTAAAAATAATAATAAAAATATGGAACTATTTAAGATTTATCGCACGGTGTGGCCTAGCGGTAGAGAGCTAGACTGCTAACTGACTATGCCTCGAGTTCATATCTGGGTTCAAGCCAGTAGATAGTCCCTGGGTCCACCAGCTCTGATGGGTACCTAACTCACGTTAGAGGAAAGTAAAGGTGGCTGGGCCGAAGGCGTAGTGAGGGGGGGGGGGGGGAGTCGGGGGTGCGGACCGCACCGGGTGACACCATTTAAGGGGGTGACACCAAGGCAAAAAATAGCAAAATATATAGAGAAAAACTTGAGGGGGGTGCAAATCGAAAGTTTGAAGGGGGGGGGTGCAAATCGAAAATTTGAAAGTTTGTCCCCGGGAAGGGTCGCTATGCCTCTGGGGGGGGGGGGGGGTGACACCATTGAGTGCCGCACCGGGTGACACCCGACCTCGCTACGCCACTGGGCTGGGCATAGTGTTGGCAGCATTATCACTTCATATGCCGATGTCACAGAAACAGGTGAACTCTACTTCACTTCCCCCATAGAACTTTTCTTTACAAAGGGGAACTTTACTTTTTAAGTTCTATCACTTTATTGAATTTCGATCCATCAATTCAAAGTATTTTACTTCAAATTAAATTTTAATTTATATATGAAACAAATTGGAATATGTAGAACTATTTCGAATTAGTTGCTAAAAATATATTATATCACTTCATCTATTAGCTGAAGTGTGTTTGTTAAAGATGTATTCTTCTTGAGAATTAAATAATGAAAAATATGGACAACTTTTTACGACACAATCGTAAAATTTGTAATTGTAAATAGCAAATGTATTGGGTTTTTTTTTTATTTCTTTTAAAAAGGATTTATACTTCATAAGGAACAAGCAAGTTAAAACTATGTGAACAATTTCATATTTTGTTTTAATAAAACAGTAATATTAACCCTTATAATGAACTCCAAACATGAAAGTAAACACTCTTTATTTAGATGTTATAGTAAAAACATTTAGGATTCTTTGTGGAAGTTTTTACAATTACATCTAAAGAAGGAAACTTGTTTTATTTTCTTATCGTTAGTGTAATTAAAAGCTTGTTGTTATAAAGATTTGTTAAAATAAAAATGTTCACTTTTGATTAATATGAAGTTAAGAAAAGACAATACTAAGTCGACATTCAAGTATTAGTATTAGTCCCATATATATGCTTTACATTTCTCTAGTTCTTTATAAGTTCTAAACAATTATCTGTCCCACATTGGTTGTATATTATCTGGAAAGTGAAAAGAAATCGCTGCAATAGAAATGGCTCTATTTAAAGTAACACCATTTGACATTTAACTCACCCGCACACAAACAAACAGACAAACATCTGACCTTAGCAAATCTTAATCAAAATATAACATCTATTTTATTATATTTACTTTATCAATCGTACTATTGAATGCACACACGTCATTCATAAAAATGTTTTAACATATTGGCGTTTCTTTAAATAATTTTAATAATTTGCTAAATAAATTGGTACTCTCTAAGTGATTCAATCCAATCAAAGGCTTAGTTGAAAATAATATAGTGTAGTTGATTGATATAGCCAAAAGAAAACGTGTATGAAAAGGGAGATAATTCGCAAAAAGGTTAGACAACTTTTATAAAAACGGAGACAACGCTTAAAGAGAAGAGGAGGAGAGAAAACTTGTATAGAAGGGAGGCAACGTGTATAGAGGTGAGACAACTTTTATAGAGGTGAGACAACTTGTATAAAAAGAGAGACAACGGGTAAGGAGGGGAGACATCTTGTATAGAGGTGAGACTACTTGTATAAAAAGAGAGACAACGGGTAAGGAGGGGAGACATCTTGTATAGAGGTGAGACTACTTGTATAAAAGGGAGACAAAACATAACAAGGGGAGAGAAATGTACTCACAGAAGGACAACTGGTGACGTAATCAGTGCCGAACCAAAACACGTCCGGGTCAAGCAGCAGCTGCCTCATGCCGTTCACACAGGGGATGGGGTTGTTGTAGCATGACCCTTGACCTGTCAGAGGTCAAACATACATCACGTGATGTGTGTGCTTAAAGCAGAATTTATCATAATTGTTCTATTTTTGTTCTGATTCTTACTTTAAAAAGCTACTTTCAAAAGTTAGAAAGTGATAGATATATATTCCTTTAATAATTAAAATAAAAACTTTAATAATTAGAAAACCCAAGTACGAAAGCTAATTTTTATCACAGATGTAGGCCCTATATGCCTATGTTTTAAATAAGTATTTTTGTTTGTTCTGACGTTATTTTAAAGCACAGACCATTGTTTAATATTTATATTGTTAACATAAATGACAATCGAACCAATATTTTAAAAAAAAGAACATGATACCAATATTTACAATAACAGTTTCCACTTTTAAAAATATTTTCTCGAATATTTTCTGTTTTACATTTCTGTTTTAAACACAACATATGTAAGTTTTGCTTTCCGGTTGCATTATATAATTATAACTTTGTGTGGTTTTTGTATTGCTCAGGGATGAATAGTCAGCCCAATACAAGCGAAATTATTTTCCCTAACTCGAGTTAGGTACCCATTAAAACTGGGTGAACTCAGTGTATTCTTAGAACTCGATCCCAGTTTCTTTTTGTATTCTTTTTATTTTTTATTTTTAATTAGCTGAAATTCAATCAAAATCATTTTTAAAATGTTTAAGAAACTTTTTTTCTATTTAACTTGAGTCAATATCTGATAGTCAATTTTGCAGATAAAGTAGAGTTTATTTGTTTCTGTAAGATAACAAATACAAGACTCAACCATTCATTGTAACTTCATTATATGATGATCACTATGGCTTAGTCATAGGAAGAGTTTTTTTTTTAAGTTTTGTACCATTAAGATTGCTTTGTTTATTCTATTTTTTTGCTCAGTTTTTAGTACATTTCCTTTAGTTACAAAAACTGTGCCCGTTTTCGGAAATTCATTGTTTAAATGTACTTAGCAAAACTGCGACGTGTGTATCAAGACGCTACTGTTAACTTACGGTGTTTAGTCTGACCTTTAACGGGTGTTAAAAAACTATGAATGGCTAAATCACAAAACGTGATGGCCATTCGGTCTCGAGAAAATATGTTTTGTCACTGTTTATTTTTCACAGCCATGCAAATATAACTGTACAAATATATAACTTTTTTCAAACTTAAGAATATACTCGTATTTTGTATTTTATTTTATTTCAACGTATTTTGTTGAATTTAATTCAAATTAATTAAAGTCCAGTTGTGAATTTGCATTGTTATTAGACATAATTTAAATTAACCTGGTCCAAAATTTTATACCAAATTAATATTTGTATTTGTAAATTTGTTTTTATATATAAAATTGTGTTTTACTTATAAAAATAATCCTCTTTAGACCTAACGATCAATTGGGCAGATATTGTTTTACTAATGTACTTGCTATAAAATAGGTGTATTTAATGTTTGTAAATATAACTATTTTTTAAATGTAAAAATATGTTTTTTTTTTAAAACGTGCTAGTAAATAACAGGCCTATGAACTATATCTATATAATATATATCATTTAACCTGAGATGTGTCTGTTAAAGCCATTGTCTTTGAGTCACTATAAAAAGAGTACAAATACAAGAAAATCCCCGCATTAAACACATTCATACAAATGGCAATGAAAGAGAATTTACGATCGCTTAGTGTCGTTGAAATCAAATGGAATGTGAAGATTTTTTTATATATTAAAAATCTCATTATTAAAACTAACAGTAATAGAGTCTTAAAAGAGTTGTTTTTTTTTTTTTCTTGACAATTTATTTCAGTATTTAGTTTAATAATAAGACAAACTACATAAATAATGATTACTTGTTTTAATATATATATATATATATATATATATATATATATATATATATATATATATATATATATATATATATATACATATATATATATATACATATATATATATATATATATATATATATATATATATATATATATATATATATATATATATATATATGTATATATATATATATATATATATATATATATATATATATATATATATATATATATATATATATATATATATATTGGCAATGTAGAGCACACAGTTATGTGTTAATTTAGTTAAACTCACAAAATGACCCAACTTCAAAAAATAATATTACCTTCACCGAGTCGAATTGCCAGAAAAAACAGGAAGAATTTCGTCAAAAATAGTTGTGTTCGATGGACCGTCATTTTAGCAACAGTTACAACAAAAATCTTGTCTTTTATAATAAAATAACATGCACAATTTTTTTCTTTTAGTTTATTCACTGTAACTTAATCATATATTATTCATAGTTCATGTAGAGAATAGTTTAAAAGACATATGTAATATATCCGTTTAAGAAATAAAGTATTATTTATAACAGTTATTAATTTCTAATTTAAATGTTTTCTAAAACTAAATTGTATTGAAACACAGTTTAACTCCTAAGCAAGTCTGACTCTGTTGCGTTTGGGATTTTTTTCCCTAGTTAGGAATCTCGCGGTAATTGGTTGTATTTTAACGAGGTAGACCGTCTCATTTGTATTGCGAACGAAAACGGTTTTGCTTAGTCATAGTACACGGAAGGGTGGTAATTTGGCTGGATGAGCTGGGACTTCAAGGAATGTCGGTCGGGGTATGCTTTGTTAGCGGCCGTGGGGGGGGGGGGGGGACACTTGCACATACTAGATGCTTCAGGAAATATTTGTTTAAACTTTAGCATTGTTTCAAGTTTCGATGTTTGAGTTCGTTGATTCATTCATTCATACCCGTTTACGATAGCGTAGGTTTAACCTGAGGTTGAGGGGGGGGGGGGGGGTGGAAAGGTCATCCAGTTGATCACGGTTGCCAAGACAGTTTTGTAGTTTCGATCATTTGAGTTCGACCAATTAATGTATGATTACCCGTTGAAAGCAGTACTAGAGTACAAAGTGGCTATGCCAGAGCCATAAACTGAAGATCGATCGCTGCAAAATAGATGTGAAGTACTTTATATATATATATATATATATATATATATATATATATATATATATATATATATATATATATATATATATATATATATATATATATATATATATATATATATATATATATATATATATATATATATATATAAATATAAATATATATATATATATATATATATATATATATATATATATATATATATATATATATATTACCTCTCCTGTATTTATGTAGTAATAAAAATCAATGGCAGTGTTAAACTGTTAAATAACTTTCTCTGATCCGATTCCACAACCAACACAACACAAATTGTTAAACAACACCTACTCTCGTTCGTGTCAAATACAAGTGAGCGATCTCAAAAGATACGTATTGCTGCTAATACACACAAGTATTGATTAAGAATTATGGCAGAACATTTGAATTATTAATGATTTACTTGTTTCGGGGTATCTTAAAATATTTTTGTTTTTGTAAACAGGTTTAACAATTTTTTCAAGTGATTGGTCTCATGGTTGTACACAGTTAAGAAAACACTTTAGAAAAAAAAAACGTTAGCAATACACAAATAACAATGATTTGCGCTTTTAGATGCTTTACTTTTTTTTTTCCTTGCTTACTCTCAGTTAAAAACGAAAGTAGAAAGGATAATTTGGTTAAACTTTTGTTTTCTGTTTGCTCGACCTTGAAATGTCACGGTGGTTCTCAAAAAATATTCTGCTACCACAAGTAGGCCTAATGGGCCCATGAACCGGTCGTGTGCTGACTTTAGTCCAGGGTTCGATCGATCGAACCCCAGGGGTTTGTTTAGACCGTCTCAGGAGTTCAGCGGAGGATAAAACACACACCCGATTCATTCACGATCAGATTTTGTCAGTGAGGACGATAGAACTATTGAGAAGGGTTCAGTGAAGGCATATATGAAACTGGTTGGGTTCGATGCCTCCAAATAAGGTTAAGTACTGCTAGTCTAGCCCAGGTGTAAACTAAGGGTTGGGGCATTCAATCTAAATTTTTCAAAAGGTTGGAGAGGGGGGTTGAGATAAATTATCCCCGTTCTGAAATCATGAAGTGGTGTAAAAAAAATACGTAATTAGTAAAAATAATTACAAAAATGAAAAATGTAGACAGTAATTACAAAAGCGGTATGCTATTTAATTATGGTACGAAATTTGTAAGCTTTGTAATCCGAAATTGATAGTGACAATCGCCCCTGCTTGGCTGTAACATCTAATAAAGTGACAATAGTGTACAACAGTTTATTTCCATGAGTACTTATCAGTGGCGTAGCCAGGAATTAATCATGGGAGGGGTTAAAAATGTTTCCATACGTATATAATCCTATATATATATATATATATATATATATATATATATATATATATATATATATATATATATATATATATACATATATATATATATATATATATATATATATATATATATATATATATATATATATAGGGGTCGGGGTCCATGGGAGGGGTTATAACCCCCATAACCCCCCCCCCCCTGCCTACGCCACTAGTACGCATCCATACATTATTCAGCGAAGATTTAAGCAGCATATCATCATCATTTCCCTTAGTGTCCAGGGCACATATGGCAGATGGAGTAGAGTTCATCTGCTTCAGATTATATTGGCATATAGTGTGGCAAGTCCAGCCGCCTTTGTTGCCCTAACGATAGTTAGGTACCCATCAGGGCTGGGTGGAATCAGGGACATTCCACTGTTTTGAACCCGAATTCGAACTCGAGACTCTACCAGTACGCCACATCGTCCCATAAGCATCATATCATTGTCACATAAAGTTCAACAAAAAGGTATCCGAAATTTACCTTTTGAGACCTACTGTTAAGTAACGACATTAAAAACAAAGGTAAGTACGGACTTTAACCCCACCGTCACCAGCAGTTGTTTCACCTGTGTTTGTATAACCTGCGACAGGTGTTGACATACGGAGGAGGTAAAACGTACCTCAGCCGCCCCAACCCTCGCTGTCTTTCTTTGCTTTAGTACAAGGCGGATTGACATGACTGGGTTAAAACTACTTTAGTACAAGGCGGATTGACATGACTGGGTTGAAACTACTTTAGTACAAGGCGGATTGACATGACTGGGTTAAAACTACTTTAGTACAAGGCGGATTGACATGACTGGGTTAAAACTACTTTAGTACAAGGCGGATTGACATGACTGGGTTAAAACTACTTTAGTACAAGGCGGATTGACTCGACTGAGTTAAAACTACTTTAGTACAAGGCGGATTGACTCGACTGTTTTACCCCGTGGGTAAAAAACACTTTAGTACAAGGCGGATTAACTCGACTGCTTTAGCTCTTGGTCAAAACTACTTTAGTACAAGGCGGATTGACTCGACTGTTTTACCCCGTGGGTTAAAACTACTTTAGTACAAGGCGGATTGACTCGACTGTTTTAGCTATTGGGTTAAAACTACTTTAGTACCTAGTGGATTGACTCGACTGTTTTAGCTCTTGGGTTAAAACTACTTTAGTGCAAGGCGGATTGACTCGACTGTTTTACCCCGTGGGTCAAAACTACTTTAGTACAAGGCGGATTGATTCGACAGTTTTAGCTATTGGGTTAAAACTACTTTAGTACCTAGTGGATTGACTCGACTGCTTTACCCCGTGGGTCAAAACTACTGTAATGCCTGCTTGGGTCAAATCTACTTGTGTATAGCAGAGTTTCTTCCCGGCTTCTCTTCGGGAGGGCTTGGTCCCTTCACCCCCCCCCCCCCCCCAAACCCGTAGAAAGTCTAATAAATAAATAGATAAATAGATAATCGATAAATATTAGCTTTATTGTTGCTATCTTGCTGTATCTACAATTCACTTTTGGGTCCTAAATCGATATAGTTCACAGATTTTATTTCTAGTTTGTAAAAAAAAAGGAATACGAAACACTTTTTATTTTACTTCACTAACATAGCACTGAACAAAAGAAGAGAAAGACGCACACAAAAGAGAGCGGAATGGTAATGAAGAAATTCTCTGTCTAGCTAGGCTGGTTTCAATTAATTTTTTTAGCAGAACCGTTTCAATCATTTCGGGGAAACCCATTAATGCTGAGTCAGCTGTCAGAGGAGTTGTGTTTACTTAATGTGACGTCATAAGATGACCCCTTTGCACTGTTTACAAATTTCGGCACAGTTGAAGTTATTTGTCAGGTAAAGTAGAGCGAAGCTAGAAATAAATTTGATAGGATAGTGTGAAAAAGTTCACCATAAACAGTTATCAGTTATCCGGTGTTGATGTATCGGATGTTGATGAGTACTCAAATAGACTGGGTAAACTTGATTCTGATAATATGTTGAATATAAATGTACAGTAAAGATTCTTCTTCAGACACAGCAATCCATTGGGCAGAAGTAGAATTCATGTTTTCATTTTACCTCGGCATATGAAGGGATAAAGTGGTCAGCGCTATGCCCCGCCATTTATTTTCTTTAATGTGAGTCAGGTACCCATCATCGTTGGGTGGACTCAGTGTCGTACTTTGACTTGAACCCGGATGCGAACTCGAAACTTTCGGGTTAGCAGTCCAGCGCTCTACCGCTAGGCCACTCTGTCATCTTATATGTTGAATAGAGTGGGTTTTGGTTTTTACTTTAGACTATGTACGCTGAATGGCAATCGTTTTGTCTTTTGGTGATTTAAATGACAAGTTAAGATGCCAAACTTTGATGTTAATTCGTAAAATGTAAGCTTCAACACATAATTTATACAATGATGTCATGTTCTAATACCATGTTTTTGAAATTTCAAAACGTTAAAAATAGAATAAAATACAAAACAATTTTTTTAAAGTAATCAACAAGAAAGATCTCTAATCTATTAGTATTAAAAGATTTTATTCCAAAATATAAACAAATATTGAATTTTATATAAAGACTTACTTAGTTCAATACGTTTTTCGTGCTCTGTCTCCTATTGTCACGTAAAATGGCATAAACATTTCTATCCGTCACGCCTTGAAAATTAATTACATTTTATAACACGCAAAAAAAAAAAAAAATTCTTACACTAAACTATAATTTACATTAAGTTATAACACGCAGGATTAATGCACTGTTCGTCAAATAAAAAATGAATATTTATAATACATTATTTACGCCTTGATGTACAAGGTGATGTTTGTTAACATTTCTATAGATCTAAGAAGTTAAAAGACTTAAACATTGGAAATATATTGAATGATTTTCTCACTCTATATTAAACATTCTGTTGTCTGATAATGTTTTTCTAAACAACTTATTTTCGTTACAAATTTATCTCGTGTGAAGGAACAAGAGCACAACAGAGACACACAAGAACAGTTGGGTGTAGATGGGGGTCACGGGGGTCGCCGTGTTGGTCTGTTTGCTGCAGGGGGCGGGGCAGGGCTCGGCGTATCCTGGGACATCCGCACACACCTGGTCTTTGGGTCTGCTTTTGATTACCGAGTAGAGTCTCTGCAAAAATAAAAGCAAAGCTCATTTTAAAAAGTTTTTATTTAACTTTCTTCTTCGTTCTTTTGTCTGTAGTGCTTTTGTCTGTCGTCGTGGATCGAAACTGGCGAGCAGAATTTCGAGCACTTCAAACTGACCGATTTCTCTGAATCTTGGCACTTGGGACAAGACTCAATGATTATGCAATATGACATCAAATTTGACTTAATTTGAGGCTAGTATATTCGCTAAAAAGACAAGCCTAAGCTTTCTAATTTTTTTTAGCATATGGCCATGCTGTCGATGGTTTGTTTTTGGTGGCTTGTTTAGATAAATTAACCATGGCCCTAACCTAGACATCAATCTTTAAGCTGATTATATACATGACTTTCGCGCTAATTCTAATCACAACCTTAATCTTCAAAATTTTCCGTGATCTTACCACTAATCCTGGATGTTTAAGTTTGTGAAGGGAGTAATTATGAACCCAAATCAACATTTATATTGTTCAATGAGTGTGCTAGGAGAAATTGGAATCACCCCCAACCCATAGACTCACAAAATGACAGCTGTCCCACATTAAATTACAGCTATCTAAAAGAAAGCATACTACTCATTAGACCAGCGTTACTGTCGTTAGTATAGCGTTGGCAAAGGGAGAGAACCTTTCAAATATACCTCTAAAGAATATTTAGTTATCGAACTTTTTTTCCTTATTAACTCGATCTAGTTTCTTGCTCAACACCATCTTCAATGGTAGATTTCTATAATAAATTAAAATGGAAGCTGTTTCGGAGATAATGGGGAAATGTAAATGCCACTGGATGAGGCACATCCTAAGAATGAATCCAGGAGCTTAACAGGACGCCTCGAGAACAAAGGAAACAGGGAAGGTCAAGGGAGATGTGATGTGGAGGCGCACTGCAGAAAAACAACTGAAAAAGACAACACGATCTTGAAGAAAATTGCCAGAGACCGGCAAAAGTGGATAGAGCTTTCTGTGGTAGCCCCATGTGTTTTGGGCTCTAAAGAACAAAGATAATGATGAGATCTAGCTGTAACACTTGCTTTAAACAGAGATTGTGTTAGAAAGATTAAAGACTAATTGGACCATGTCTCACCATTCTAGAGAAACCGTCTCCTTCCGCCAGATACCACGTGACGCCAACAAGTTCTGTAAGGTTCCAGGCATTGAGGACAGGTGCCAGTTGAATTTGACACCTGAAATAAAAATACGTGTACACAAACATCTTCGGATATAATTAAAAGTTTTAGATCAGTTTTTTTATATTTACCCTTAGGATTTAACTACAAATGTTTATTATTACTTTTTTAAATTAAAAAGAAAAATTAAATGGAGAATAAAAACATCATCACATGTAATTTTTATGGTAATGTCGATAGTTTTATAAGCTGACTTGGCTTTAGTGATTAATTAAGACATTATTAATTTTGGCCACAAAGCCTCTTCATAATAAATAATGCTTAAGGTAATCATTAATTTTGATTCGTCAAGCTTACTTAAAGCGATTTAAAAAGGCAAGCTTGCCTCAACTGACTTTAAAAGTCAAGCTTAGCTCAAGTCATATTAAATAGTCTAGCTTACCTCAAGTGAAACTAAAAAGTCAAGTTTACCTCAAGTGATTTAAAAAGTCAAGTTTACATCAAGTCATATTAAAAAGTCAAGCTTACCTCAAGTGACTTAAAAAGTCAAGATTACCTCAAGTAATATTAAAAAGTCAAGCTAACCTCGTCATATTAAAAAGTCTAGCTTACCTCAACTGACTTAAAAAGTCAAGCTAATCTCAAGTAATATTAAAAAGTCAAGCTAACCTCAACTGACTTAAAAAGTCAACCTCAAGTTATATTAAAAAGTCAAGCTTACCTCAAAGTTCCATTAGGACAGAAGTCACTGAATGTCGTATTGTTTAGTGTAGGGACGGGTTGGCGGAACAGCATGTACAGGTAGGGTCTTGCTTGGTTGCTGTGGTTACCGTAGGAATAGAATGCGTTTCTTCAATTATAAGCCCTACACATTGTAACTACGATAGTTAATAGTCTATATTGATATATATGGTAATTACGACAAGTGTCTTTAGTAATAGTTTGTTGATAACAATAAGTATCTCTAGTAGTACATAATAACAATCATATTTTGTTAGACAAAGAAAAAAAAAGAAATGATCCCCTATGAACCCTATATGGACTCTATATGAACCCTATATGAGCCCTCTATGAACCCTATATGAACCCCAAACGTAGTGGGGAAGGGTGTGTTTATGTCCTAGGGTGGGGTTGTCGAGTGGTAATCACTGTATTGGTTCTGACCTTTATTAGTTTTTAAAATGTACTTAATATAATACTGAATAACAATGACTCGTTAAAACATTATAGTATCCTTTAATGTAGTGCTAAAGGTATATTAGTTTACATATATAACCATAATGCTAATATAACATGAGTCAAGTTCCTCTTTACACCTAGCGATCCATTGTGCAGATGAAGTAGAGTTAAAGTTTCTTGAACGTCGTTATATAAAGGTGTTGTGTTAACAGCACTATGCCCAGCTGCCTTTACTTTCCCCACTGTGTCAGGTACCCATCACAGCTGGGTGCTCAGGGACACTCTCGTCATGTCCGAACCGAGATCCGAACTCAAGACTCTCAGACTAGCAGACTGTCGCTCTACCACTCAACCACGCCGTTCCAAGCTACTATGATATGACAACTTACAAAAAGAAAGGATTCGAACCAAAGTACGCCGCCACCTCATCCCCGGTGCTGACGTCAGCGTTTTTGATGTTGGTGACGAGCCAGTGGGTGACGTAGCGAGGGTTGGTGGCGCTGGCGTTCTGGGCGGCGGCCACGTCCAGGACAAACAGGGTGTAGATGTGCTCTGGGGGTAAAGGTCATAATGGTGTGATAATGGACATATAGGTCATAATAGTGTCTGATAATGAACCATTAGAGTTGGGTAAAGGTCATAATAGTGTCTGATAATGGACCGTTTTAGGGGTAAAGGTCATAATAGTGTCTGATAATGGACCGTTTTAGGGGTAAAGGTCATAATAGTGTCTGATAATGGACCGTTAGAGTTGGGTAAAGGTCATAATAGTGTCTGATAATGGACCGTTTTAGGGGTAAAGGTCATAATAGTGTCTGATAATGGACCGTTTTAGGGGTAAAGGTCATAATAGTGTCTGATAATGGACCGTTAGAGTTGGGTAAAGGTCATAATAGTGTCTGATAATGGACCGTTTTAGGGGTAAAGGTCATAATAGTGTCTGATAATGGACCGTTTTAGGGGTAAAGGTCATAATAGTGTCTGATAATGGACCGTTAGAGTTGGGTAAAGGTCATAATAGTGTCTGATAATGGACCGTTTTAGGGGTAAAGGTCATAATAGTGTCTGATAATGGACCGTTTTAGGGGTAAAGGTCATAATAGTGTCTGATAATGGACCGTTAGAGTTGGGTAAAGGTCATAATAGTGTCTGATAATGGACCGTTTTAGGGGTAAAGGTCATAATAGTGTCTGATAATGGACCGTTTTAGGGGTAAAGGTCATAATAGTGTCTGATAATGGACCGTTAGAGTTGGGTAAAGGTCATAATAGTGTCTGATAATGGACCGTTTTAGGGGTAAAGGTCATAATAGTGTCTGATAATGGACCGTTTTAGGGGTAAAGGTCATAATAGTGTCTGATAATGGACCGTTAGAGTTGGGTAAAGGTCATAATAGTGTCTGATAATGGACCGTTTTAGGGGTAAAGGTCATAATAGTGTCTGATAATGGACCGTTTTAGGGGTAAAGGTCATAATAGTGTCTGATAATGGACCGTTAGAGTTGGGTAAAGGTCATAATAGTGTCTGATAATGGACCGTTTTAGGGGTAAAGGTCATAATAGTGTCTGATAATGGACCGTTTTAGGGGTAAAGGTCATAATAGTGTCTGATAATGAACCATTAGAGTTGGGTAAAGGTCATAATAGTGTCTGATAATGGACCGTTTTAGGGGTAAAGGTCATAATAGTGTCTGATAATGGACCGTTTTAGGGGTAAAGGTCATAATAGTGTCTGATAATGGACCGTTTTAGGGGTAAAGGTCATAATAGTGTCTGATAATGGACCGTTAGAGTTGGGTAATGGTCATAATAGTGTCTGATAATGGACCGTTTTAGGGGTAAAGGTCATAATAGTGTCTGATAATGGACCGTTAGAGTTGGGTAAAGGTCATAATAGTGTCTGATAATGGACCGTTTTAGGGGTAAAGGTCATAATAGTGTCTGATAATGGACCGTTAGAGTTGGGTAAAGGTCATAATATTGTCTGATAATGGACCGTTTTAGGGGTAAAGGTCATAATAGTGTCTGATAATGGACCGTTAGAGTTGGGTAAAGGTCATAATATTGTCTGATAATGGACCGTTTTAGGGGTAAAGGTCATAATAGTTTCTGATAATGGACTGTTACAGTACCGCTAAAATTGAATTTTCTTTAAAAAAAAAGAAGGTAAAATTAGGGGTGAATATTTCAGTCTAGGGTCAGATAATGCCACTAACACAAACACTTCTAATGCAAGAATAAATTATGCTTTAGTGCGTTGCATTTTACATAGTATCAAGTACTGCCACTTGAATCGTCTTTTTAAAAAATTGTGTTATGTTTGGATCGATTTTTTGCAAAACTGTTTCCGATGTTGCTGATTCATCATCATCTTTTTTTTGTAGGCGCCCAGGAGATGTTGTGACCTCGACAGTACCACGGGTATCAAATGACAGACCAGGACGGACCAGCGGGAAAACCCCACAGGTCAATATGACCTGGACAGGACGGACTGTTAATGGTGTGGGAAGATGACCGCGGTATGCAGCCCTAAGATGCCCGGTAAGTAAATTAGAGTTCATCTGTTTCAGTGACCTAAGCATTTGAAGGGATGGTGTGGTCAGTCCTATGCCGAGGTCATTGGTTTCCCTAATGTGAGTGAGGGGCACATCAGAGCTGGATGGTGTCGGGGAAGTTCTACACATTCGAACCCGTGATTCGAGCTCGAGACTTTATGGTTAGCAGTATTAAGCTCTACCCCCATGACCATCTAGTATTGATCATGTAGTTGATTGCTTTGTGTATGTATGTGTGTGTGTGTGTGTGTGTTTACCTGCAATCGATCCTTGTGCCATCAAGTTGAGAGAGGTCAACTTGACCCTTGGCTTAAGTCTCACCATGCCAGGTCTCTGAGTACGATCGCTGAACGGATCCACAGTGAACATCCCTCGGCTGTAAAGGCGAGTGCTTTAATTTCATTTAAAAAGTAAAACTCTCTAGTGTTTAATAAAGTACATTGAACTTGGCGACAAGTGAAGGCGAATTGCCCTGTTTCATTTACCCTTGGCGTATGGAGGAATAGTGTAGTCAGCACTATGCCCAGCTGCCTTTGTTTTCTCTAACGTGAGCTGGGTGGACTCCGTGACACTTTTCTGATGTGAACCCAGAGCTCAAACTCTACCATCCAACCACAGGGTTGTGAGTGCACGCATTTAATGAAAGATTTCTCTTGTTTTTAATAACTTAATTTATTATTCATTGACGTCCAACCTTTAAGTAATAGAGTAGCCTGTATTAAAAGAATCAACAGTATTCTACAACTCCTGATATTTAGGTGAGGAAACAACGCACACCATCTCTACATACAACGTACACCATCTATACATACAACGCACACCATCTCTACATACAACACTTACGTGAGTACACACAACATCTCTACATACAACACTTACGTGAGTGAGTACACACAACATCTCTACATACAACACTTATGTGAGTGAGTACACACAACATCTCTACATACAACACTTACGTGAGTGAGTACACACAACATCTCTACATACAACACTTACGTGAGTGAGTACACACAACATCTCTACATACAACACTTACGTGAGTGAGTACACACAACATCTCTACATACAACACTTATGTGAGTGAGTACACACAACATCTCTACATACAACACTTATGTGAGTGAGTACGCACACCATCTCTACATACAACACTTACGTGAGTGAGTACACACAACATCTCTACATACAACACTTACGTGAGTGAGTACACACAACATCTCTACATACAACACTTACGTGAGTGAGTACACACAACATCTCTACATACAACACTTACGTGAGTGAGTACACACAACATCTCTACATACAACACTTACGTGAGTGAGTAGATCTCACAACATGACTCCACCTGATAGTCCTCCGTCGAGTAGGTGACGTCGATGTTGGTGGTGAGGGTGGTGACGTAGGGTGTGGTTGAGGTTAACGACATGGTGGTGTTGTCGCTTAGTTTGGGGTAGTAGCCACTAGCCTTAAACACGTTGTGGAGAACTAAATGGTGGGTTAGATTAGAATAAATTTAATTCCTTAGCTTGGAGAGGTAGCTACTAGCCCCAAACACTAAAAAAAAATTTAAAAGGTGGATTAGATTAAAATAAACTTCATTCCTTAGCTTATGGAGGAAGCCACTATCCTTAAAAACTAAAAAAAAAACTAAAAGCTGGATTAGATTGGAATAAACTTAATTTCTTAGCTTAGTGAGCTAGCCACTATCCTTAAAAACTAAAAAAACAACTAAAAGCTGGATTAGATTGGAATAAACTTAATTTCTTAGCTTAGTGAGCTAGCCACTAGCCATAAAAACACGTTGTGGAGAACTAAAAGGTGGATTAGTTTCGAATGAGCTTAAAAAACACAGTCGTGGTAGTATTTCAAGATCCCTACATAAGAGATTTAGTCGATTCCTCCACCCTACCCAAAGTTTGCTATATTTTTTCGAAAGTTTTATATTTGTATACAGTGTTTCTTCCAGACTTTTTTCTCATGGGGGACGGGGGCTCTGCTTGTATATCTGTCTTCTACGCGGATAACTTTCAAAGATGTGTCTCAAATGACAATATCGTAGTCAAAGCCATCTGATCTAGAAGCACCACCATCTCGCTAGCGAAATACCAGATACTTAAGTGACATGCATCTTTAAGACTTGGTGAGTTAAGGGGGGGGGTAATTAAAATAGTTTTCGTACAATTAGTGATATGCTTTGATTCCATCATCAGATATTTTAAAACTTGCTTCATAATGAGGAAAAACTACCATTAATAATCTGTATAGCTTTACCAAAGTATTCAAATTCCTAGAAACTTTTTAATTCATCGAGAAGTTTACCTAGCAACTGGAAGATTAATTATTTTACCTAGTTGGAGAGAGATCTAATTCTCCAGCTTTGTTTATTTAGCAATTGGAATATCGAATGTATCAACCAATTTACCTGGCAACTGTGAGATCAAATGAGGACAGTTGTTGACCAAGATCATGTTCTTCTGGGCCTCGATAGCCACGGGGTCGGCAGGGAAAGACATGATGTTCATGTGGCTGGGACCTGGAATTTCACACGTCAGACTCATTACAATCAGTGTAAATGTGAGTTACTAGGAATTTTATGTTTTCAGCTGTCGCAGGCCAACTAGAAGACATAATTGTTAAATATAAATATGGAACCAATATAAATAATTCTAGATTATCATATTTTGATGTGTGCTTTTTTTTTTTTGCCTCTGTTGAATTACTTCTTTTGCTGTCAAAATATTTTTTCATACAGTAAAATACAATTTCACGAGCCGTTCATTAATGTAAGACAGTTGACGAGGTGTGAAGGATAGGTAGTGTCAGCACAACTACGATGATGTGCCTCAAAAATGTTTTTTAAATAGATACAACGCCTGATCCCAAAGCTCCATTTATGGAATGATCTTCAACGTAGCTGTTAATCATATTGGCGTTAATCTTTATTAGACAGTGACGTATATATTGGGCAATGCAACTACGGTTCTCTCGCGGCGGAAATATGTCCTATTTTTAGTAGCAGTTTGGATAATCCATCAAGCTCAAACCAGGTCAGAAGTAAAAGGGACAGCATCCAATCTAGGAGAGAAAACTCCAAAATCAAACAACTGCTTCCTTGTAGTTTGTTCTTAGATGGACGAAGGCTATAGAAGTAAATCCAGAAAGAAAAGCAGGCTCAAATCAGAGTCAATTGCCTATTTATTATATTGCACATAACAGGTTGAAACGCAATACTTTAATGTGTCGGAGTAAATCCCGTCCAACATCACAATTAAGAAGGAAACCAAAGTAGACATTCTTGTTTCCTAAAGGAAAAAAGGTTAGTGCATACCAACACGACCACAAAGCTGAAAAAAAAGGTGAACTCTACTTCAACTGGACATTCATATATCTCAAAGTTAAAGCACTGCTGTCACCGTGTGACTCTACTTCATCTAGATGGTCTTATCTCAGAAAGAGGACTCACTTGTAACAAGACTGGAACTAAAATTACTGAGAAAACTGGACACCATCACCATCCGATTATTTGCGATGCGGTGATCTCTCAGCCAGGTGGACACCTGAGTTTGGTTTAGTGGTTGGGTTTGTTCAAACACCAGGATCAGGTAGGGATTTTTTCTCAAGAATGGATTCTTCGGTCCCATATAGGGAGCTATTGGCTAGTTGGATGCAGAAGAACAAATGTATTATATCAATGAACATTCTAATATTAAAATAAATTTTAAAAATAATACTATTAGTCGAGAAAAAAAATATAATGAGATAATTTTTTTATCATAATAAATTAATTGAAACTTGAAATTTAAAAACAAAAACGGAGCAAAATTTGATAAAAAAAGAGTCTGGTGAGATGTTGAGACGCGTATCCGAGTGAGGAAAAGCTAGCGAGAAACAAGCCAAGAATACTGCCAGAGACCGTTAGAAATGGACGTCTATGACGACCCCGTGTATTATGAGCACCGACGGGAAAAGATGAGTTTAGAGGGTTTTTTTTTTCAAGACGAAATGAAAAAAAAATAACTAAAATATAAAATGTTTACTTTTACCAGCGCAAACCCCCTCCACGAAAATTGCAAGTTCACCCCCCCTCCCCACTTTAGGAGAAAAATGTCTGGAAAAAAAGGAATTTGTTGGACAGATATCCACAATAGTAGTTGTACTGGGGCCTTGTGACTAGTCAGTTAAAAATCTTCATAATAGCCACAGGGTCAGTTTCTCACACGTAATATGTTGTTGTATTGGGAACTAATCACGTGTATCTTTATAATCTACAGCTTATGGTGTTACACAAACTACATTAAACGACTTTTAACATATCTTTAAAAAACTGAAATTGTGTAATTTAATTGAATAAAAAAAAGACCACCAAGTATAAGAAACAGAAACATTCAGGGTCCAAAGGAGTGACACCAAAACGAAATTAGCCAATTTTAATGAGCAACATGTTTATTAGTTAATATATTAACTTATTAAAGTAATATCAGAACAGGGTGAAATCTTGAGGGATGAGGGTGTCACCTAATCACATTTAGTTTTGGTGCCCCATATACAAAAACTGGTAACAGCTTGCAATGCATAAAAATGGACTGGATATTAATTCTATGATGAGCTATTCAGGGAGGTCGACTATACATGATCTCACTAATCTTAGAGGAGGAAAAAATGTTTCAATTTGCTACGTTAGGATTCGGTGGGTTAAAGTCATATGACTTAGCATACATTTTAAAAGTTTTTTGTTAAAAATAAAAGTGTTGTTTAGCGTTATAAAACAGTTATTTAGCGTTATAAAATTGTCTATTAATGTACTTAGTTTTTTAACTTATTTAATTATCAGTCTTGATTTTGGTGACCAGGTGGAACGATATAAGAAGGGGCTTTCAAAAAAGCGAAACACCATTTGACAAATCACTCTTTGCTGTAATGGAACAAACAAATTGCCATTTTAACACTCTTTACAAGTATTTCCTCGTCTACTTACAACACAACTACTCACCATCTACTTACAACACAGCTACTCATCGCTTACTTACAACACAGCTACTCACCGTCTACTTACAACACAGCTACTCACCGTCTACTTACAACACAGTTGCTCATCTTCTACTTACAACACAGCTACAACACAGCTACAACACAGCTAATCACCGACTACTCACAACACAGCTACTCACCGTCTACTTACAACACAGCTACCCATCGTCTACTTAAAATATAGCTATTCATCGTCTACTTACAACACAGCTGCTCATCTTCTACTTACAACACATCTTCTCATCTTCTACTTACAACACAGCTCCACATCTTCTACTTACAACACATCTGCTCATCTTCTACTTACAACACATCTGCTCATCTTCTACTTACAACACAGCTCCCCATCTTCTACTTACAACACATCTGCTCATCTTCTACTTACAACACATCTGCTCATCTTCTACTTACAACACAGCTCCCCATCTTCTACTTACAACACATCTGCTCATCTTCTACTTACAACACAACTGCTTAACGTCCCGTTCACACAGTTGATGTACACAGATGCAACACAGCTGCTCATCTTCTACTACTTACAACACAACTGCTTGTCTTCTACTTACAACACAACTGCTTAACGTCCCGTTCACACAGTTGATGTACATGGCGTGCAGAAACAGGTACCCAGCGTCCCAGACAACGACGGTGCTATGGTTACTAGTCTTCTCCCACGTGACCTCAGGCCGGAAGTTGACGGACCAGCCGCTGACGCGTGTCGGGACAAGTGGGTCCACCTGGAAGTTGTCTAGACGGTCAACCGTGAAGTCATGACCACATGCGTACACGGATCCTTCGAACAGATCAGAAAATATTCGTCGTTATTCGAATATTGGACAAATCGTGATATTTTATTGTAGAGAAGCGATCGTTTTTGCTAGGGAAAAAGGGGGGTGGGGGGCAAGGAGGGGGGGGTGACAGAGTGTGGTCCACTGTCCACTCAAGAAAATACATACTTTAAATTATGAAAAAGAAAGTCTCGAGCTTTTTCGGTGTATGACATGCTCTGTTCCCTTTTTTAAGGCAGTTGGACAAACTCGTAGCCATTTATAAACTAAGTCTTCAACTTAACAGTTACTTGATCTGCACTATTGCAAGCTACCTGAATGTATACTCTACTGCCTTTACTTACCGTTGGGGGCGTTGAATGTGACGTTGGCTAGCTTGACCTTCTGAAACCTGCCGGCCAAGCTAGAGTCCGTGTCATTCAGGCCGTAGATTCGTGCTGCCAGTGATAGTCTTGTGGGGTCCGGGTTGGAACAGACTAAATCTGGGGTACCCTGTAAATAATAGTTTATGACTAAATCTGGGGTACCCTGTAAATAATAGTTTATGTCTAAATCTGGGATACCCTGTAAATAATAGTTTATGTCTAAATCTGGGATACCCTGTAAATAATAGTTTATGTCTAAATCTGGGGTACCCTGTAAATAATAGTTTATGTCTAAATCTGGGATACCCTGTAAATAATAGTTTATGTCTAAATCTGGGGTACCCTGTAAATAATAGTTTATGTCTAAATCTGGGATACCCTGTAAATAATAGTTTATGTCTAAATCTGGGGTACCCTGTAAATAATAGTTTATGTCTAAATCTGGGATACCCTGTAAATAATAGTTTATGTCTAAATCTGGGATACCCTGTAAATAATAGTTTATGTCTAAATCTGGGGTACCCTGTAAATAATAGTTTATGTCTAAATCTGGGGTACCCTGTAAATAATAGTTTATGTCTAAATCTGGGGTACCCTGTAAATAATAGTTTATGACTAAATTTGTGGTACCCCGTCAAATAAAAGTGTGTCTAAATCTGGGTAACCTGTCAAATAAAAGTTTGTCTAAATCTGGGTAACCTGTCAAATAAATGTTTGTCTAAATCTGGGTAACCTGTCAAATAAAAGTTTGTCTAAATCTGGGTAACCTGTCAAATAAATGTTTTTGTCTAAATCTGGGTAACATGTCAAATAAAAGTTTGTCTAAATCTGGGTAACCTGTCAAATAAAAGTTTGTCTAAATCTGGGTAACCTGTCAAATAAATGTTTGTCTAAATCTGGGTAACCTGTCAAATAAAAGTTTGTCTAAATCTGGGTAACCTGTCAAATAAATGTTTTTGTCTAAATCTGGGTAACATGTCAAATAAAAGTTTGTCTAAATCTGGGTAACCTGTCAAATAAAAGTTTGTCTAAATCTGGGTAACCTGTCAAATAAATGTTTTTGTCTAAATCTGGGTAACCTGTCAAATAAAAGTTTGTCTAAATCTGGGTAACCTGTCAAATAAATGTTTTTATCTAAATCTGGGTAACCTGTCAAATAAAAGTTTGTCTAAATCTTGGTAACCTGTCAAATAAATGTTTTTGTCTAAATCTGGGTAACATGTCAAATAAAAGTTTGTCTAAATCTGGGTAACCTGTCAAATAAAAGTTTGTCTAAATCAAGGTAACCTGTCAAATAAAAGTTTGTCTAAATCTGGGTAACCTGTCAAATAAAAGTTTGTCTAAATCTGGGAAACCTGTCAAATAAAAGTTTATGTCTAAATCTGAGGTACCCTGTCAAAAAATAGTTTATTCCTGAATCTGGGGTACTCTATTAAATAACAGTTTATGTCTAAATCTGGGGTACCCTGTTAAATAAAAGTCTATGCCTAAATCTGGGGTAACTGTCAAATAAAAGTTAATGTCTAAATTTTGGGGTAACCTGTCAAATAATAGTTTATGTCTAAATTTGAGGTACTCTGTTAAAGAGGTCCTGTAGGACAACTGTGTGGTGGGGTTTG